TGAGTCTCTTAGTTGGTATGTATTTAGAGACGGTTGCAAGAAATGTTTCCTTCCAGGCAAGCCAATCGGTGTTTATATCATCATGATCTATGGTTGAAGAAAGGTTAGCCGTCAAAAGGGCCTTGCGTAGACCTTTGAAGTCTCCATTGCGATAGTTGTACACAGTTCTGTGAGATTTTGCCAGGCCTTTAATGAATGCGTGGAACTCGTAATTGATGATGGAGTGGTAATATATGTATTACTGTTTTTTTCTTTTCTTTTCTTTTCTTTCCTTTTTTTTTTTTTTTTTTTTTTTTTTTTTTGCGGGGAAAAGCCTGATGTTGTTTGGTGTATTATAGGCCAAACAAATAGTTGTTCTAAGTTTGTGGTTTTCTAAGGGAGCCTCATACATTTCGATATATGGTCATGTGGTCTGTGGTAATCACATCTTATCTTCTCCTTATCTTCTTCTTATCTTTTCTTTTTTTTTTCTTTCTATTTTTACTGTTAGACTACTCAAGAAAAATGCTTAATGACATTTCTGAATTTTGAAATACTCAGCTTTTCTTGTCTCATTGTTCTCCTACAAGAATCATCTTTCTCTGATTTTGCTCTCTCATCTTTCTTTCTTTCTTCTCTCCTATTCTCTCTGTATGTCTTTCTTCCCTTTATATCCGTCGGTGCAAAGCTATTTTTACGGATATTTATATGCCATTAGGTTTCCGTGGAGAAGCTTTACATATAAAGCAACTAAGTAAATGTCACTAAAAAAATTCAAAAATTTTCGCCTTGTTTTATATAGTTTTTGCGAGAACAAGTTTCGTAAACTCATAAACACTTTTACATTTGCAAACAGATTTATATAAAGCCTTTATTTTTTACATTTAAAATTACATAACTCAGATAAATTGAAAACAAAAAAACAGCAAAGTCTTCTTCGGTACGGCTTACAAGAATGACTGACCATTAGACCAGTTCAGTTCCTTTGAGCTTCCCAGAAGCTTTTAAGTTCAAACAATACAAGAATTACAAACCAATGCACTAGGTAAAAAGAAGAGTGCATTAGGGATTCGTAGCAAGGTTTAGGAAGTGAAGACCAGGGCTGAGAAGTTGTAACAATTCAAAAACAATGAATCTTTTTCCGAAACCATCTTCGTGATGTTTCCTGCGTTTTGTTTTATCATCCTTGACAATGGAATCCTTTTAAATCGAACGGAAAGCTACGAAAAGTGAATTATCGGTGTTCAAAAGGTAAATTTTGTATGGAAATTAGATTTTAAGTTATATAGTTTTCGGGGCCAAGCCGTTCAGCTGCAAAATAGTGGAAAATAGACAAAAGATTCCCTAAAAGTTTTGAGTTTTGAATCAAAACAAAAACTTTCAATTAGACATTAAATGAGCATTTCAAGTGTGAAATTTTCAATCCAAACTGAATCAAAATTGGGCGAAAACATTCACTATTACAATCCTAAGTACTTTACACAGCAATTTCAAAGCCTTCTGGAACTTATACAATCTCCAAATAACTTTGGTATGATTGATAGAAGAATATTTCGAATATACACTCCGAAGATGGTCTTGAGGACGAACTAGTATTCCGCATTCCCGATCCGTGATTATGCCTTCAGGAGTCCTTCGTCATTCAGTTTTTTTCAAACTGATGAAAACCTTTTTTTTAGTTTTTGTGGTTTTAATCATACTGATGATATTTTTCATCTGCGGTTTTATGGTATATTTGCGCCTTAAAATGATTATTCCTATAACACGTTAGGTTTGCCAAAGGGCTTGAGAACATCTCCTGATTGACTAGACTATAGAAAGATAACTCGGAGCGTAGCGATGTGGTGTTAACGCACTCATCGTTGTTTTCCTTCCTTTTACGACATTTTCCTTGGCGTGAAATCTTTATAGAGTTCGTTTGTTGTTGACTGTTGATCAGTGAACTGGATTAATTCCAATAACGAAGTTGGTGATGTTTCGATTCCCCGAGAGAGTTAGTCCATGTTTCTATTGTCCACCAGCTGTTCTACTCTGCATTAGCGAACCATCTGCGTGCCTGCAGGCTTAATCATTTAGCGAATTCACATTCGAATTCATAAATCTCACACCAGGTCATCTTTAGCAACACAATGCCCTACAACTATGATCAAAGGGGTGATGTAAGAAAAAACAAAAAAAAACGGATCTGATAAATGCACCTATCCTAGTTAAAATACCCCAAGTTTGTCCATTTCCACTCTCCTTCATGACCACAGTACGCTATACGTCTTAGACCTAGAAAAGTGGAGTTAAATGCGTTGATAGACGTACGCGTTCCAAGAGGCCCACCCACCCACTGATCAGTTTATCAAAGAGACCCTATCTGATTGACTTGGCTTCATTGTCCACAGATTAACACCCACAGTGTCCCCAACAACATACGATATCATCACAGCACGAGCTACAGCATGGATACCCACAACGTCAAAGGTACGTACCTGCAAATCCTATTTTTCATACCTAAATGTTTTCTCTAACGATATATTCTCCATTCCTCTGCTACTGAGCATGCTTATATGTTGCCGCGTGACAGCACTGGAAGTCCAATATCGTTAAATTTTACATAATATGAACTGTCTAAATGCTGTAGCAAGTGCACGCCTATATGTATATCATGCCCATCAGTTGTCCTTTTTCGAGTCACATTTATCAAACGAACACTGTCATAAAGGGTTGTCTCTCGAAATTATTGAATAAATCAGACCTTTCTATTGCCACAAATGTCATCAAATCCAATTCAATTCTTAAATTTGTTTTTGCATCTTATAAGCTTTATGAAGTAAATCAATGCATGAGGTAAGCACTGAGACCATAAAGACTAGAGACAACGCTTATTTGATCTTCAATTATTTTGAATAATGATATTTTTTCGTTCAAATTCTTCTACCATTCCTACGAGGTATTAAGAACAAGGTTTCTTAGAACTTCAATTCAATTCAATTTTTTCACAAACATAAGGAAAAATAGCATACACAATGATTGATGAAGCCCAAGCCATAGACTTACAGGGCATTACAGGACATATAGAATTAATAAATAGTCAGCAAGTATAAAATAAATGGATTGACAATGGAAAAGAACCTCACTATCTTTTGCATCACTTTCTCCAACCGGGTTTATTTATTCCCACCTCAATCTATATTTAACTAGTCGAGCGATAATATTGAGAGAATTAACCACCTTGGGCTTCCAACGGGTATTTTTGTCCTGTTATTTTGGATATCAGCAGCGCATAGCTTTTTGAAAATCAAGGCGAAAGGAAAACAATTTGTCCATTCCTTTGACTCGAACGATTCAAAACCCAGCCGGAAAGTAATTATGAGACGAGCTTTGCAGAGGTAAAAAGTGTGTCAAATAGACAAGCATCCGGTTAGAACGAGTTCTAAATCTCGTGTATTTTATTTATCCACGACATAAAGTCTAGATTCTTATTACTTTGGTATTTTTCGAGGTGGTTTAACGTTACAGCACTGTTTTCTTAAACTGCAATGCGCCGGCTGTTGTGATAAATTATTAAATTTCCAACGGTTTATCTTGAGAAAAACAGTTACCTTTTTTAAACAGATCTTGAGCTCTTCCATGGTCCTCAAAAATTCAGACATTTGGTTGTTCGTTTGCTATTTTTTCGCTTCTTTATTGCTTTTTCGTTTCATTTCTTTTTCTTTTTTCTTTCTTCTTTCGAAAAACCGAGTATACAAAAATACTCAAGCGTAAGAAGACTCATCGTGAATTTCCCAAACTGTCAAGAATCGCTCCATCCAAATAGAAAAAAAACTGACAAAGAAAGCGGAAAAAAGAATGTACAGTTAACCGAATATTTGAAAACGAAGCAATTAGGAATTCAGTGGTTAGTAGGAAATTTAAAAATATGTGGTAGGATTATTAAAGATAACAGTTTTGCACATGATTGTCGTCATTAAATATTTACTTGAAAACTATTGAATTGTTATCGAATATCATGTTATGTTTATGAATTAGCTAGACCAAATGCTGGAAGTGTTGGATAATTGTGAAGAGAGAAAGTTGAGACAGAAAAAAAGATATATTCTATGAAAATATGTTGTGTATTTTGAGAAATTGTTCTCATAAAATTTATCATGGATAGGGCTTTAATTCAGCGATTTTTATGAATTCATCCAAATTGTTTAGTTTAATGGTATATGGTATATATTTTTTACTAATGATCATATTCATCCCTTCCTTTTATTCATCCATTCGTTTCTTCCATCCATATTCTCCATACATCATATACCATTCTATCCATTCGTTCGTTCGTTCGTTCGTTCGTTCGTTCGTTCGTTCGTTCGTTCGTTCGTTCGTTCGTTCGTTCGTTCGTTCGTTCGTACGCTCGTTCGTACGCTCGTTCTTTCGTTCGTTCGTTCGTTCATCTTCATCTAACAAGCCTATGCAACACTTGCTGTCAACCAATTCCCTTTATTCATTCACTCACTCACTCACTCACTCACTCACTCACTCACTCACTCATTCATTCATTCTTCACTCACTCATCAATTCAGTCATTCATTTACTCTTTTCAAACATCCTTCCTTCTTTCCATCCATTCGTCCATCCGGATGCCATAAATTTCACTCGTACATTTTTGTAACAAGCATGTTTTTTGCTCATCAATGGCTCGTGTATAAAAAAGTTATTCTCTCATCCCATTTATTCATCCAATCATGTCCTAATAGACCGTCTCTAATTGATTAAATGAAAACAGACAGACAGACAGACGTACACACAGTACTAAGTCAATCAGTTAATCATTAAATCCAGTCCATTACCCACCGCACAATAAACCAATTAAGAACCCCTTCGAAGATATAATGAACTAACAACAACACCTTACCATCTGATAAACCAATCATAATCTTAACGCGGTGACAACCTTATGATAACCAATACCTTACACAACAAACACCACTCTCTCTTTGATAAGTACTAGATGATTTTAACCTGCGAATATTTGTAAACAAAATTGCCTATGCTAGAAATGATTTTGCTTTTTTTATGAAAACATATCGCCTCAAGGAGTTCTCCGATGCTGGTCGTGTTTTGTCTCGTGATGCGCTCTGTTATTCTGGAATTTTAGTTCTCTGTAACGTCACTCAGCGAAGATAAATCTCTTCCAGATCAATTTTCGTTCCCCACAGGTTTCGCCTAATTAGACAATCACAAGAATGTTGGGCCTCTAAGCGGTTTTTTTGTTTTGAAGCCAGGCTTTTCAAAATATAGTTCATCAGCTGTTCTTTTCCCAGTCGTGTGTTTATTGTTTTTTTGTGTTTTTTTGAAAATGGTAAATCGTTAATCAAATTATGTCAGCACCGATGGTTTTTTTAGAGAGCAAAGTTAGCCATGTGCTTTTGTGTTGGACGATATCGTTTGTATATAAGAATATATATTGTACTGTGTTCGTGTTGGACGCTATCGATATCGTACGACTAACGTGAAACAAGAAAAAGCGCGAGAAACTGTGAATTCTGCCACTATTTCTGATGCTATCGTTATCGCTGTTCAATATTTTTAATATATAATTTTTACCATAAGAAAAAAATAAAAAATAAATATATGACAATAACATTATTAACACTATTTTCAACACAAGATGGTCACGCTTTTACTTTCAATCTCATGCAATTTTGAATTTATATTTACCATTGTTACGATATTCGTTTCGTTGACTACTAGCTGACTTTCATTGTTTCGACTTCTCAAATTTAAGGTCAAAAGTAAAGAGAAGTAGTCTGTATTTATAGAGAAACGAAGATGCATTGACTACAATAGGTAAAACATGTTGGTTGAGCCTGGTTTTGGCTTCTAAGATCTCTTTATAATTAATCGCGATGACTCGAGCTGCAATTCACAATGCAAAGTAAAGAAAAGTATACAGTCTTTCTACAAAAAGAGATGTATTGACTACAATAAGTAAAACATGTTGGTTTAGCCTGGTTTTGGCTTCTAAAAGGCTCCCGTTATAATTTACCACGATGACTTGAGCTGCAATTCACTATGCAAAAGTAAAGAAAAGTACTCTTTATTTATTTAAAAAGAGGTGTATTGGCTTCAATAGGTGAAACTGAACACGTTAGTCTAGCCTTTCTCTAAAATTTAAGATACGTTTTGAATCAAAGCTTTTAAATTTCACATCATAAATCGTAAGATTTTGAACATTTCCACCACAGACTGAAATAAACACTGTTTTTTGAATCGTCAAACTTAGCACTTTAAAGTTGTGTAGCCGTGCCTTCATCTAAAACCCATTTTGAACCTGTCCAAAAGTAATTCATTACGCTAATCGTTAAAGTGCACTCTCTTATACAGTTCAGATAATGGTTTTGTTCTCAAATAGATCGAAGAAAAAACTTAGTACAGTCATCAAAAATGAAGAATTTGGAACTAATTTCGAGCGATTCTTTTTTGGTCATAATTTTTGGTCATAATTTGCCATTTGCAAAAATTATGGCCGTTTCAAATATAAATACAAGTATATCGAAAGTATATCAGACAGGGCAGGATATCTTTCTTGATATTTTTTCAGAAAGCCCAAGTGATAGACAACTCGAAAAAAATACAAGGGAGGATATCCCATAATTTTTGATATACTTTTGATATACTTGTATATATTTTGGAAACGGCCATATTTTTTGCAAATGGCTGTGTGTATATATATATATATATAAGACAGAAATGGCTTGACAAAGTCCCTTCAGGCTTCATAAGCCACTCTCCATTTTAGCTCCGCCTTTCGCTTCCTTCCCGCCACCCAAAAGCTATCTCTCTGACTTGCCTTACACTAGTTATCATCTCACATTTTCTTATGATAACTGCCATTCGAAATCTTGAAAATAAAGATGTTTCTCTGCAGCAAAAGTTTCTAGATGAACAATATTTGGTTTTTGCTTTAAGATATTTTGATGTCAGTCACTTTACGCCTTTAGACTTTGTTATACACACGCCCCCCGGTGGAAGATGTGTTTTTATCTGCTTGAAGTGAAGTTTTTTTGCCCTTCTTATTCTTGAGGCAACTTGTTATATTTTGGTATCTTTGTTTAGCGATACGTTAATGCATATTAGCAAAATTTTCCGCCTTTAACATGTTATTGATGTTGTCTCTCTCTTTCTCTCTCTCTCTCTCTCTCTTTCTTGCTCGCATATTCTTTCTTGACAAACATCGTGTATGGCTATACAAACATTATATGACACAAGTGCTAAAGACTATGTGTTGGTTTCTTTGTTCACAAAGCATCTCTCTTTGTATATCAATTCGTGTGAAAATTATAGAATGATTTCGCTCAAAATCATGAGAATGCACAACTGAAGTAACATTAAGATTGATTAGAAAGCTAAGAAAAAATAAATAATAGGTTTAATTCTGCTGTCATTCCATCGAAAAATTATAATTTCTTTAGTTTTTTTTGCTTCAGATTTAG